CCATGGTTCCTTGGTCATCCAGCCAGAGAGCTCAATGGCCCAGCCTTTCAGTTCTTCACAAGAACCTTTTGCCTCGTTTGAATATTCCTACATGACACTGCTGTAGGGAAGAATACAGAACCCTAAATGAGGAAGCACAAAGAAAAATAGATGCCACGAGTCTCTCTGAGAAGGCTGAAGATGAACCAAAACAACTTTTTTAAATTAAAAAAAGATAAGGAAAAATGTAGGATCTTTTGCCACAGTTCCATAAAAATATGCACTATTTTCTGATTACGACACACTGTGGTTGGGTTGATGTAACTTAATTTGCACTGAGGTGCTCATGTGATGGACTGCAGCTTGAGGCAAATCGTGATAGTTTGCAGGACACCGATTTGACAACACCATTTTGTGTGTGGCACCACTGGACATTTTTTCACTGTTTACTAGTATTTCTATCAGTAGCAGCAAATCACTCTTGCTCTGAGATGTGAATCACATGAGCTACTGCCCCGAGGGCAATCACATACACAAAAGACACTAGCTACACAAGAAACGTTTTCATCCTTAATTTTTTATGAGTAACAGTTGCATGAGGTCAGGCATAGATACAAAATGTACAAAAAGAAATGCATTATTTAGGGAGACTGAACTCCCACAGCTCCATGAATTTTTAATGTTCAATGCTAGGTTTATCTGCAAGTGATCTGACCTTTCCCCTCTGCACCCTGCTAACTGCCCCCCCACCCCCCCCCCCCCACAGACAGACAGACACACAGGGAAATCAGTATTTTTGCCTGAGCTTGGGTTGCTTGATTGGTCCCTTTTTCTTCTTGGGAACCTCTTCCCAAGTACAAATAAAATGCATGCAAAGAGAGTAATTATAAAAATGGATGGGCTTGTACCATAATTGTAAGTGGCGACCACAGTATATAGACTGCACCTGTTGCCAGCAAAATACATGCCCATAATGGCTGAGGATGAATCACATCCCTGATGTGGGCACTTGACCCCAGCAAAATAATTTATAAAATGGTGCTGACTTGTGCATTTTATACCAGGCATGTGGGGGGGGGGAGGTAAACAACAACAATTTAAGGGCTACTAAGGTTTTGTGGAGGTAGACAAGGCAAGATGAAATACACAAAATCAGAGGGCCTTTGTTGGGGGGGGGGGCATGTTTGACAACATAGCCACAGGGAATATTAGTATTTCAAAGAAAGGTTGAATGAAGGCCAGCTTTCCGTGAAACAGACACAACAGGAGGAATGTAATGGTGGGTCCAGAAATAGGTGTAGCTCTAATGACACCTTGCAGCATGAAAAACTGGTTTTATGGCACAACAATTGGCGGATTTAATCAGCATTCGGACTTCACTTCTGCAGAAGGAAGCTTGGAAGATGGAAGCAATTTCTACTCTAGATTTAGAAAACACAACTAGAAGAAATTTTGTGTATAGATTTCTAGTACCTATCATCAAACTTGGACTGAAATATACTATTAACTTAGCAGGGCCCCAAAGAAATACTTTGACTCAAGCAAGGAGCTTGTGAAATGGTTCACTTTGTTTGAATATGTCTCCCTTATGTCAAGCTGCTTTTGAAACTCCTCAGTGGTGGGATGGGGGTGGGGTGGAGCATGGCACTCTGCTAAAAAAAAGTCAAAAGCCCCTTTGGATTCAGGTTTTCAAAATAAGGCAGGTCAAATAAGGATGAATTAATTCTCTGAAGGTTAAATGAAGAGAGGAAAGCAAGGATTTGCTGTTCCAGTTGGTCATCAGTTCTGGCCAATTATCTGTTTTAGTTTGAATGCCTTTTGCAGGACATTAGTTCATTGACTGCATATGGCTTTGCGTGCTGAAAAAGTAAATACTCTGAATACAGCACTTTCCCCCAGAATGTAGTTTGTGCAACAATGAGCATAGATTATACTGACAGTTATGATAACCCACTGTCACTCAGATTATGCATTTGCACTAAACTGAGGAAACCCTAAAGAATTTTAAGACAGGATGTGTTAATTTTGCTTAGTGAGGCAGAAAACATTTAGAACTGAGGTGAACTGCAGTCCAAATGAAGGGAATTCTCTTCTAGGGAACAGCAGCAGTCTTAAAGTGAGTGTGGGAGATAGAAAGAGAGATCAAGGATCAGTTCTTAGATTGCCTGAGATAGCAAGCAAGCTAAGAGGTAAATCGTTATATCTACAGTATGTTCCATCCGTGTTCTTCTTCAAGTGTTTCAGTAATACTTGTACATAAGAGACTTGCTACAGAATGGGCTTCCCAAATCCATGTTGGATAATGAATTTCAGGCATGGCAAAAGGATTGGATGTTATGACAAAAAAGAGTCCAGTAGCAACCTTAAAGACTATCAAAAGGTGCTACTGGAGTCTTACTTTTTTCTACTGCAACTGACAGACTAACACAGCTACCCATCTTCATCTATCTCCATGTATGTTATGAGTAGTGTTTATGGACAATATCTGTCTTTTAGAGTTCCTGTTTCATTTATACTTGTTACTGAAAGCCAAGGAACCTTAATTTGGCTGAAAACTAAGAACTTCAGGAAAATGAAGTTGTCTTTAAGTAAATGTAGATTAAGAGTAACCTAAACCTTTTCAAACCCTAATTACTGGTTAACACCACTGGACAAAACAGCTCATGAAATATACCCACATATTATAGAAAATCAAGGCTCATGTGTATGAAGGAACCAGACCAAGTTCCACCAACTCTAAGCTTTGCACCCAACTGTTACAAGCCATGTTTTTCAAGTTGTATACGATCTGGGATAACTGTTTAACAGGCAGACTGACTGATTTGTTATGCTGGGTTCTTCTGGCTACCACCAGCATAGGCCGTTCCATTACTTTTAGGTCAAGCAGAGGTTTGGCTGGGTGATCTGTAGGCAAGGCTCTGCAATATTGTGACTTTGTTCTTTAAAGCTCTCTGTACTGCCGTCAGAATGTCCCTGTGCTAGAGCTGAATGTAGTTTTATGATCAGCTGGTAAGATTCCACTTCTTTATTTGATCAATATGATACACCATTTTTGGACTTTTAAAAAATGGAATAAGAGCATATTAAATAGCAGGGTGTAGGATGCTTTTCTTCATAAACAATGTTTGAACAAAAAAAATCTGAATTACAAATGTTTTAAAAAAATGTCAGTACAATTGAACATAGCATTCCACTAAAACAAAAGATACAGATATAGCAGAAAGAAAAATTGTGCCACTTACCTTTAAATTTTTTTTTGCTGTTTCTAGGAACTTTTTATTCTGTACATAGGACCATTCTGTACAAAATATGAAGTCTACATTTTTATTACTCATTACAATAAAACAAAGTACAATGTATGTACAATATTAAAATGAAGCCATACTAAAGCCACACCAAAAAAGAAAGACACTTGTAATATTTTTTTGACATTCCTGATGTACAGGCGTAATTTTGGAGAAGACGGGAAGTGGTGAACACTGAACTTTATGAAGAACAACAGTCACCAAAACTGTACTGTATTCGCACATTTTTTATTTTGGATGTATTAATTTTTTAAGAATAATTTAATACAGAACGTCTACAGAGCATAAAATGGAGATAACAAACAAGCCAAACAATTAGTGCTGCTAAATTTTTAGAATATTGCTTAGGCAAAAATTTGCCAACTGGCCTAAATCTCAAGAGCAAAAATTGTCATGGCATAATTTTCCTAGCTATATCCAAGAAAGTTGCTTTTTGGTGAATGTTTATCTTCAGTAAAGAGAAAAAAATAAAATCTAGACAGTGAAAGATCTTATACGTTGAGCGTTACACAGTCAACCAAACATTGATATACAATATTTCCCCCTTTCCCCTCATTTTTCCGCAGGATAAAATTAGTCAGAGTGCTTCTTCCCAGAAACCTCTTTCATGAACGTACTTGAACAGCCAAATTATAAAAAGATGTTTGACAAGCTATCAGCTAAAGATGGAAGTTCAAACAATGGTATATCAAAATACATATAGACATTGCTTTATGCAATTATAAAAGCACCCTCTTCCCCTGTCAAAAAAAGGGGAAGACATCTTTAAACTGCTTTAATTATAGTTTTTTTCATTATGGTAAAGCATATTTAATTTTCAAGTGTAACAGGAATTTTCACACCGAGTGGATATTATTTCACTTGAAGTCTGGAGCGGTCTTTAACATTTCGTTTTGTTTTAACAGTAATCCTCATCCCACCCTTTGTGATTTTCTTTCCAAAGCTTTGCAATAAATATTGGACATTTTAAGTGAGACCAGACGCGGCAGGCACAACATCTGCACAAGGTTACTCTAAATGCTTGTTTTGCACAATAATTTTTATGGATTAAAGAGATTTCATTTCTTTAAAAACCCCCCACCAAACTACTATTTTGAAGGAGCTACATGTTTAACGTTTTCTGCAACAAGACTGTTAAATGTCTTATGTTATGTTACTCTCAGAGACAACAGAAACAAGTCACCCATTTTAAATAAAACTCATCTGTAGAAGCTCTTAATCTGGAGATCTAAAATACTGGCCACCCTGAGAGAAATGAAATATTGAAGTTAAAGCACTTAATGTGGTTTTTCGCGCTCTGCCATCTACAGCAATGGGGAAAAAAAGAGCTCAGAACACACAAGTCATCACAGCAGCATTTGAAGACTGACAGCAACTCAGGTGTATTTTCATTTTGCTTGTGAGGTGTGTATGTATCATGTATGCTTTTCACAACAAAAACTGACAGCAAAACTACTGTAACTTCACTCTCAGCTCTTAGGACAGAGGCATTTAAGATGCAGAATGCATCCAGAGGATCTTTCTGATATATTAAAAATAATTTATATTACATTGTCCGGGCCGGCGGGGGGGGGGGGGGGGGGGGACGGGACTTATCCAAAATAGCTAGTTTCATGATGTTTGTGACTGGAACTCTTTGAACCCAAAATACGCCATGTGCTAAAAGCTCAAACAAGGGAGAAAAAACTGTGCATATATATATATATATATGAAAAACAAGAAGTTATCCAGTGACTGTAAAAAAATGCAATTAATTTTGAGTCAAGGCAGACAACTGCATTTTTTTTGGGAAGGAAAGCAAAGTATGCAGTCAGCTCAGTTCCGAAATATAAATTTTATGTTACATGCTAAGGAATGGAAAATATGACTTCAATCCATATAAAGTATTTGGACAGGGTGCCTGTCTCTCTGATAATTGGTTTTCAGAGCTCCTAGAAATTAGCCGTGATTGAAGATTGTCGTGAAGATTACCATTCTGTAAGATGCACTGAGGGAACAATTCAATGGTATTTTTTCCAGCTGCCAAAAAAGCAGCAAGACAATAATGCAGAAACCATTTTTTAAAGACTCGCACTTTAGGAAAATGTCTAATAATTATGTATGAATTTGGAATTTTGCTTTTGGAGATGCGTATTGCCACAGTACCAAACATCAGTGGGAAAGGGATGACTGCAAATTGACTCCCGTCTACCAGGCACTGCTGCTATGCAGCCTCCAGTCACGTCAGTGGGACTGGCAAAGGACCCCCCCCCCCGCAAATCCACTGTAGGCTGCTTCACACATTACATTCCGCATCATTGGAAAGCATTTATCTGTAGGGGAAAGCATGCAACTCCTTTATAGATTGTCATATGGCAGTCACATTGGTATGCACATTTTCTGCTGCAACTTCCATGCATCAGGAGATGCAACCAACTGTAGTTTCATAATGTGCACACATGAAGCAAACATCATCATCATCATTAACATTACGGTTTTGCACTTCCTCCCCCACACCAGGTAAATAGTATGCAATACATGAAGCAGCCCTGAAATGAATGGGAGGGCCAGGTGGCAACAGCGTTTGGTGATTTTTGCACCAAGAGTGCTTCTTCTTTCAGCACTCATATGGGAGCAATGCATGTTCTCAACTGACGGGTAACGTGCCAACAGCATCAAGATTACTCTGTTTAATACTAGGTTCTGCATACAGAATCAGGTAATTTACCATTGTTCGAACTACTGATCTTGAGCTGCATGTACAGTTTCATAGTTATTGCCTAACAGAATCGGGTCAGGAAAAAAAAAAAGCTTTGACGTTGTGTGTAACTGATCAGTATGGCACAAAAAAAGTAAGTTCTCTACTGTGGAACAGAGTCCAGAAAAAGAAAAAGGTTTTCCTCCAAATAAGATTTCACTTGAATAGTCTAATGCCCATCATGCGTTATTAGCTCATCAGCTCGGCAATGGGACTCCAAGGCTTTCATGGTATAGATATCCTGAGGCAGTTCTGACTTGCGCCGCACCAAAGGACGCTCCTTTTTCTGATCCTTCTGTGCCTGAAATCAAAGTGTGGCATTAAAAAAAAAAAGCAACCGTTCTCTTTTTATAGGAAAGGTAGACATGTAATCACAGTTCTGCTTTTGTTTTTTTAAATCAGTAAAAATGCATATTAGAAGTCGATCCCATAAGCTTTGACTATTAGAAAAGTCCATCCCTCTTGGCTATTGCATCCCCCCTGGTATTACTGCCTGGTCTTTCCGCTTCTCTAGGAAATGATGAAATCAAGAGTGTAACAGTGGGTGCTCATAACATTATGACACGTACAGTTTGTGAGCTGCTTAGATGAACAGCTCCAGGAGACTAGGCAAGTCAGTAACTGTTTTTGCTCCACGGCTACAGGTGCCCTAATACAGCTGTACTGCTGACAGAATATTGAGAGAGAGAGCAACTGTAGGATCGCAGAAAAACAGTGCAGAACTATGACTACTGCACTTAACAATTTGCATTCCTTCTTCCAAGTAGGACAATAAGTCCTGAAGAAAGAACATGTCTTTGCATTCGCCTGAACACAGTGCCATGCTCTTCCTGCTTTGGCACATACTATCTACCAAAAACGAGACCAAGGCAGGGCAGTTCGCTGCATTTCCCATGCCAGGGGGTATACAGGACAGTGCTATGGCCACTGCTGATCTATATTTAAAGGGCTATAAGCAGGCTCCTAGAATAAAACTCCAACAACAACAACAACAAAAGCAGGTTGCTTACCAGTAACTGTGATCTTTGAGTGTTCATCTGTGCATTCACACCCATGGGATCTAGTGCGCACGCGCTGGATCGATCGGTGCTGTAGCAAGCTCTTTTAACGGATTTTCGTGCCCAGTCCCTCGGGCATGCACAGGAACCCCACCGCGCATGCCCAGAGGGGTGGGCGTGGACATCCCGTCAGTTCCTTCAAACCGCCGCAAATCAACCCCTATTAAAAATGTAGAAGCTGACAGCAGCGGGGAAGGAGGGCGGGTGGTGTGAATGCACAGATGACCACTTGAAGATCACCAGTTACTGGTAAGCAACCTGCTTATCTTCAACGTGGTCTCTGTGCTTCACACCCATGGGAGATTAGCGAGCAGTAGCCTACCTGGAGGAGGGTGCTGGCAGATCTTTTACTACATAGCCGAAGACAGAATGTGACATCCCATGTTGGTATTGGTGTTGTTACGG